CCGGAGCCACCTCCAGAGCTGCAAATCATCCCCTTGTGGCCTTGAGAGAAGGTTTCCCAAATTGCAGTGAGCAGGCATGGAGATGGCCTCTGCTTTCCCTGCAGTGCAAGAAGCATCACCTCGGGCGAGTGCTCCTGTGGGATCTGGCTCCCTGTGACAGCAGCTCTCCCCCTGGGGTGGGGATGCTGGGTTGGGTGCCCAGCACCCTTCCCTCCCTATAAATCCCTCTGTATCCCTCCAGCTGCCCAGGCTGAGGCTGGAGGCAGAGCAGAAATGGTGGCTTTTGAGTCATTGGGCAGGGAAGGAGCAGATGCTGCTGGATGGAGCTTTATGTAACTCCAGGCAGAGCATCCAGCCCCCCTGCGCCGGGGCTGCAGTAACCCAGATACAGCCCAGGAAGGGAAAAAAAAACAAAAAACCCACACGTAGGTCGGAGTCTCTCCCCAAGCTGTTCGTTTGGGAGTAAATATTTACATGGCGCTGCATCCGCCTGCAGCCAGGACCTTGGGAAAAGCAGCCCAGGTCCCCCCCTCGGGAGGATGGGGATGAACCTTGAGCAGCAGAAATGGGAGCCCTCGGGTTTCCTGGGGTGAGAACCGACCCCTTGCAAAGTCTGGAGACCGAAAGGGGGTTTTGCTGTGCTCAGATGGCTTCGTTCAGCTTCCATGGCCTCCAAAATTCAAGCCAGCTTTATGCACCGAGGGGAAAAGTAACCTGCTTTGCTGCAGAATCCAACAGACCCCAGTGGTTCTTGTCACCACTGAAGTTAGCGAATGAAAAGTCCTGATGTTGCCCTCCATTGCCCATGTTTGGGTTGGAAATGGCCCCGTGCGAATCTGCTGCCACCAAAACCAAAAAATTCTTCTTCAGGAAGAAATTTTTTACTATGAGGGTGGTGAGACACTGGAACAGGTTGCCCAGGGAAGTTGTGGCTGCCCCATCCCTGGAGGGGTTCAAGGCCAGGCTGGATGGGGCTTTGAGCAACCTGCTCTAGTGGGAGGTGTCCCTGCCCAGGGCAGGGGGGTTGGAACTCGATGATCTTTGAGGTCCCTTCCAACCCAAACCATTCTATGATTCTAAGATGATTCTATGAAAATGTTAAGTCAACCCATGTTCAGAAGCTGCAGAGCAAAGTTTTGCAGCGCGAGCATCGCCGTGCAACAGCTTCCCTTGCCCGAAATCTCTCTAATTTGAAGGGTGGTGAATCCCTCCTGTCCTCCTGTTAAAACTGGAAAGTCCATCCCCAGCTCCACTCTTCCCTAACCCAAGGAGGAGCTGGTCACCAGCAGAGAGCGATCCCATGTTCTCCTTGCTGGGCACATGCATGGGCAAGGAGTCATTTTAATAGGAACTATTAACTTCTGGGTTTCCTTTTCCTTGTTTGCTCAAGCTCTGGGGGTTGATGTTGACTCAACTGGTCTTGCTTTTAATAGTTCCAGTGGTGTTTGATGCCCTTGATAGGGCAGCTGCTCCCACGGAGTTTGTTTTCCAAAGGAAGAGACGTGGGTGACTGTCCGTGCCCCCGGAGATTTGGGGATCGTGGGTCGCTCTCAGGGAAATGGGGTCTCGAGGGACTTCCCTCTTTGGGAGGAGGGGGGAATTGGGGAAAAACAGCCAAAACCCAGTGGGTGCTTCTCCATGGGAAAAGCAGCTCCGTGTGTTCTCCTGCCCTGTGATGCCACCTCCTGCCCTTCTCCGGCAGCAAGAAGCACTTGCTGCTGAACAGAGGAAAAATGCTGGGGGTCTTGCCGTGCCCCCCCTGCCTCCCGGGTTTGTGCTGGTGGTGGAGGATTTGCAGCTCCCACTGCAGAAGATGGATCCCAGTTCCCAGCAGGGCCACCCAGTTTGGGGACAAGGGGGTGGCAACTGTAGGTACACAGGCGGGCGAGCAGCAGGACTACCTGCTGTGCAAATAACCTTTACTACAGCAGCCAGGAACAGGCTCCTGGGGGTTATTAAGGCTTATTATTATAATAATAATAATAATTATTAAGGCTAATATCACTTACTCCCCTTCCCACTGCCCCTGGATGTGCCCGTGGCATCTTCATCACCCAGGCTCCTGCTGCAACCTTCCTCCTCCTCCGGGAGAGAAATTCAGGCACAGAGCTGGGATGGGGATGCTTTGCCCCCCCCCGTGGCATCACTCCCGTGGTGAGAATGTTTTTTCCCATTAATCCCCTCCACCCCAAAAGCAGGATACCAGCCCAGCACTGGGAGCAGGATCCCAGCAGGATCCCAGCGACGGATCGGTACCGACGAGCTGGGGAGTGCTCTAAAAATACGGAGCGGAGAAAGCGGGGAGTGAGAAACGGCTGAGATTCAGCAAAATCAAAGGCATAATTAACATGCAGCCCCTGTGAGTGTATTTTTAGGGCCCTACAGAAAGGGTCGAAAACGTTGAATTCGCATCAGCACGCGAATGTTCCAGTTTAATGGGATCCTGGGGCCTGGGGGGAAGGAGCGAGAGATGCTTAATTGTCAGTGTTTGTGTTTTATTCATGACGGAAGGTACTTAGCAAGGGAAAACTGATTTGCTGCCGGCTCCTCGCTGCTTGTGTGGCTTTAAACCTTATTCCGGCCGTTCCTGGCGTGTGCTGAGATGGGGCCGTTGCCCCCTGGTGCTGGAAGGGCTTGATTATTCCTGGCGTTGGCATGAGCTGGGCTGGGAAAAAGGATTATCGCCCCCGCTCCGACGGGGAGCTGGCTGCCTTGGGATGCTCAGAGCTTGCATGGGCTCCAGGGGGGATCGGAGATAGAAGAAACATCCCATGGGGGTGAAGCAGGAGCTACGTCCACCCTAGGAGGTCTCAGATGTTGGGAGAGCATTGGGACAAAGCTGGGATGCTTCCCAGCTCCTCCCGGCTTCCTCTCATGCCTGATCCCGAGGGCGACGGGTTGGTTTGCTCAGAGATCGATGCTTTTGTGGCAAAACCAAGGTAGAAATGAGTCTCCTTCCCCCATCGCTCCACCACCTGGGACCTGTAGGAACCACTCAGGTGCTGCCGAAATGGCTGCAGGGAGCCTTAGGTGTGATGAATCTTCCGGCCTCTGCGGTGCTGCCCACGCCGGAGGCAGCGCCCGCAGCTCGGGTAGCAACCTGTGGTCTGATCCTGCCCTTGGGGGGGGCCCTGGGGGTGGCCATGGTGGCCGACTCACTGAGGGATTGTGGAAAGCCACTGCTTTTCCCAGCGGAGCCGGATTCGTGCGGCGCAGGTGGAGGAGGGATGAGCCGGCACCGCGCGGCGCAGATGTGGTCCCTGCGGAGGGGGGACAGAGAGAGGGGGGGGGTGATGCTCACCGTGGCGCAGAGCGGCTCCCAGTCATCATCAGGATGGTGGGCTCGTTAGGGAAGGGTGGTGGTTTTGTGTTTTTTGTTGGGTTTTTTTTGGTTTTTTTTTTTTAATCTGTTGTGAAACGATGCGCAGATGGCACAGCCGCCCGGCCGGAAGGAACGGAGGAACACGAGATGCTCAAGGCAGGGTTCCTTATTTTAAACCGCTTCCCTTGCCAGGGAACAAATGTGCCACGCTTCAAAATAATAATTACAAGAGCCTGGGAGAGGATCCAGGGAACCCAAAAATCCTTCTGTGGGTAGGGGCGCGTTGGCTGAAGCTCTACTTTTGTTGGCATCGTGCCGCCCGCTTGCCCACCAGGGCTGTGTTGGGTGGATGGGGCTCATCCCAGTGGGTCCTGGCTGGCCCAGAGCCCTGCATTTGGGGTCTTGCTGTGATGGAAAAAGGGGACAACGATTTCCCTCTTACTTTGCACCCCGAGGATGCACCGTGAGGACGTGTCCTGTCCCTGCTCCGTGCCATGGAGCATCCCTGCTTGCAGGGAACGCAACCACCGCCCCGAATAAAACCTCCCATCTCGCTCCTGAAGCTGCAGGAGGGGGGAATAAGGAGCTGCTCCAAACCCTGAGCTGAGGATGCCACCTCCTCTCCCTGTCCCCTGTGCCAGGGACACGTGGGGACGGGCACGGCGCTGGTGCCTCCTGCCAGCTCCTGGCACACCGGGTGTGATGGTGCCCGGGTGGGCCGGCTGCCGTCTGACGGGAGGGAAATGCCAGTTGCCTACGTGCTCCCGGGATTAGCAGCGAAACTGGGAAGAGCTGGAGCCAGCGCCAGCTTGTGTTGTGAGAACTGGCTGTGCCGCAGGTGGCCATCACGGGGGGGGGTCCCCAAAGAGACCCCAGGGTGCCCAGAGGGCGGCTGCCCCCCATTGAACTGGGGCTTGCTGGTGTTCTCCAACCTAGGATCAAGCAATGCCCTCAATATAAGAAGGACATGGACCTGATGGAGAGGGTCCAGAGGAGGGCCACAAGGATGATCAGGGGGATGGAGCACCTCTGCTCCGAGGACAGGCTGAGGGAGCTGGGGTTGTTCAGCCTGGAGAAGAGGAGGCTCCGGGGAGACCTAATAGCAGCCTTCCAGTACCTGAGGGGGCTACAGGAAGGCTGGGGAGAGCCTGTTTAGAAAGGCCTGCAGTGACAGGACGAGGGGCAATGGCTTCAAGCTGGAGGGGAACAGATTGAGCCTGGAGATGAGGAGAGGGTTCTTCACTGTGAGGGGGGGGGAGCACTGGAACAGGTTGCCCAGGGAGGTGGTTGAGGCCCCATCCCTGGAGATATTCAAGGAGAGGCTCGACGAGGCCCTGGGCAACCTGGTCTAGTTGGGGGTGTCCCTGCTGACTGCGGGGGGGTCGGACTAGATGGCCTTTGGAGGTCCCTTCCAGCCTGGGCAATTCTATGATTCTATGATTCTATGAATGCCAGGGCATGTGGACCTGGTGAAGCTTCACTTTCCACTTTACATCTCAGGAGCGTGAGGAAGAAGGGGGTTGGAAGGGGAAACTGAGGCACACAAAGAGCAAATGAACCCCAAGAGTGCAGGGAGGGCTGGGAATAGTCCCCGGCTCCCACGGGGGTCTCCTCCTGCAGAGAGCATCCTCCAGTTGTGTAGCCAACACGTCTCTCACTCTCTCCTCCTCCTCTCCAGGCTTCCACGTGATCCCTTCGGTATCCAACATCGTTCCCGAGAGCTGCCTGCTCATCGTGGTGGGCCTCTTGGTTGGAGGGCTCATCAAAGGGGTGGGTGAAAAGCCCCCCATCCTCAAGTCGGACATCTTCTTCCTCTTCCTCCTCCCACCCATCATCTTGGATGCCGGCTATTTCCTCCCCTTGCGCCAATTCACCGAGAACCTGGGCACCATCCTCATCTTCGCCGTGGTGGGGACGCTCTGGAATGCCTTCTTCTTGGGTGGCCTGATGTACGCCGTGTGCCAACTTGGTGGCCCCGGCCTGAACCACATTGGCCTCTTGGCCAACCTGCTCTTCGGCAGCATCATCTCGGCCGTGGACCCGGTGGCCGTGCTGGCCGTCTTTGAGGAGATCCACATCAACGAGCTGCTCCACATCTTGGTCTTTGGGGAGTCCCTGCTGAATGACGCCGTCACGGTCGTAAGTAGACGAGGGGGGATTGGGCAATGGGTTCGTTTTGGTGGAGCATCTCTGGGTGGTGGCGGTGGCACCAGCAGTGAATGAGGGGGATCGGCCAAGGGGTTCGGGTTGGTGGAGCATCTCTGGGTGGTGGTGGTGGCACCAGCAGTGGATGAGGGGGATCGGCCAAGGGGTTCGGGTTGGTGGAGCATCTCTGGGTGGTGGTGGTGGCACCAGGACTGGCAGCTCTTAGTCAAGCCCTGCGAGCAGAACTGCAGACTGGGCCATTGCTGAGCTGTGGCAGCTCCGCTTGCTCCTAACCTTTTGCAGGTGCAAAGCTAAATATAGCACCTTAAAACACCGCAGAGGTGAGGTGAGGTGAAGCATTTTTACTTGGTGATTTGGGGAGACCGAGGGCACGTGCCCAACCAGCTCCTGCCTCTCAGTGAGGAACCAGAACCATGCCTTGGTCTCCTGGGAATCTGCTCTCCTGGGTGAAATTCCTGCCTCCTGCCCATGTCAATCCTGCCAGGGAAGGAGAGCAGGAGCTGCCATGTCACTGCTTCTCCCTCCTCTCCTTCCTCGTGTGGTTTTCCTGGCTCTCTGTCCACCGAGGAGGTGGGAGGGCAAGACATGGCCAGCCATGGGGAGGAGGGGAGCCTTGGGGGGCCATGGCCAGGCTGGCATCCCACCTGGGTCACCCCAGCCTTTGAGCAGCAGCTTTGCAGGGAGTTTCGGGGGCCAGGCCACCCCACTGTGGACTTCTGTGTCCAGGTGCTGGCTCGGCCATCAGCACGGCGTCCTCCTCTGCAGAGCTGACCTCTATATTTACTTCCAACCCACTGCTTTTTCCTGGCTCTCCTCCCATCTCCCCAGCTGTCCCCTTCGGAGCTGGTGACGGGGTTCCTGGTGACGAGGAACACGCTGTCCCACCGCAGGGGCTTTTCCGGGCACTTCTCCCTGCTTTTTGACCCGAGGGACCCCCTGCAGGTTCTGTGTCCCTTCTCCCATCCATGGGGAATGTTGTTGCCTTCTGCTCTCACGTCTGTCCCTGCCCATCTCCCAGGACCTGGCCCTGGCAGGCAGGAGCTGGCACCTCGCCCTCTCGCCGCCCGCAAGCGCTGCCATCCCTGCAGGATGCTCTGAAGCCCATTTTCCATCCTGACACCCCTGTGTCAGCTTCTGCTTTAAAACCACTCCAGTAAACGTGTCTGGGGGTGGAAGGAGGAGATGGAGCCGGGGTTGGGCTCCTCCTGCGAGGTTGGCCTTTTAGCTGCAAGAAGGTTTGGGCTCTTCCCCGGGCTGAGAAGGGCAGATGTTGGCTTTTCCCTCCATGTGGACGTCAGGTGTCCCCCAGCCTGGATCTGTCCTGCTCATTGGGAAGCAGGAACAGGCTCTGGCTGGTTCAGCCCTTGACCGAACAGCGGTCGGGTTTGTGTTGGAGAGCAGAGCTGTCCCAGACACATCTTTGATGGCACCATGTCCCTGTGAGCCATGGAGGACGGGGAGCTGGTCCCTGTGGATCTGTGTCTCGCATCACCAGCTTTTTTTGACACAAATGGCTTCAAGCTCCAACAGGGGAGGTTTAGATTGAACATTAGGAAAGAATTTTTCACCGAAAGAGTGGTCGGGCATTGGAACAGGCTGCCCAGGGAGGGGGTGGAGTCCCCATCCCTGGCTGTGTTTAAGGGCCGTTTAGATGCAGTGCTGAGGGACATGGTGTAGGGGAGGACTTTGTAGAGTAGGGGAGATGGTTGGACTCGATGATCCCAAGGGTCTCTTCCAACCTAGACCATTCTATGATTCTATGATTCTAAAGCTTGGTGAATTGCAGGACACAGGTCAGGTTCACCGAGCACTGGCACACCTCATCTCACATGTGCTGTGCCGGGTACCTGCCTGGCTCCCTTTGCTGCTCCTCTCCCAAGGAAGGTCCCCGAGCAGGCTCTCCTCTGAGGTGCTGTCTTTGGCCAGCAGGACAGTTTGAACCTCCTTCTCCCTTCTCCCTCCCAGGTCCTCTACCACCTCTTTGAGGAGTTCGCCAACTTCGAGCAGGTGACCATCATCGATATCATCCTCGGCTTCCTCAGCTTCTTCGTGGTGTCGCTGGGCGGTGTCTTCGTGGGCGTCATCTACGGGGTGATCGCTGCCTTCACCTCCCGCTTCACCTCCCACATCCGAGTCATCGAGCCCCTCTTCGTCTTCCTCTACAGCTACATGGCGTATCTCTCTGCCGAGCTCTTCCACCTCTCCGGCATCATGGCGTGAGTTGGGCATGGGTGGGAGAAGAAGCTTTCCTGTCCCCATTACCCTTTGGAAGACGTACTCTGGTGTAACCACATCTCTCTGGCTGTCCCAGCATGGCCAGTGAGGGCCAGAGGTGTGTTTGGGCTGGGGTACGCAGGGAGGCAGATGAGGGAAGTGACTCTTCTGAGTTGTCACACAGATCCTGGGGTGCTGGTAGCCCATTGCCCGTCCTCCTGGGCAAGGTGATGTTGTTTTTTGCTGCTTGGGCTCTGATGCTCCTGCCAGGAGGAAGGAGAAACCTCATATTGCCTTCTTTGGAGGCCTTGAATAATTGCTGGTGTCTCTCAAGCCCTGTCCAGCTCCGGGGTTTGGTATAAGAGCACAAAACACTTCTGCAGGGCCAGTGGTTGGGGCTGTCCCCATGTCCCCATGGCTGCTGAGTGCCCCAACCTTGCCCCTAGGCTCATCGCCTCCGGCGTGGTCATGCGACCCTACGTGGAAGCCAACATCTCCCACAAGTCCCACACCACCATCAAGTATTTCCTTAAGATGTGGAGCAGCGTGAGCGAGACCCTCATCTTCATCTTCCTGGGTGTCTCCACCGTGGCTGGCCACCACTACTGGAACTGGACCTTCGTCATCAGCACGCTGCTCTTCTGCCTCATCGCGAGAGTATTAGGTGAGGTGTCCGTGTGGTGGCAAAGTCCTTGGGGATGGCCCTGGGTGATGGGCAACTCTCAAGGCCACGAGGTCCGAGTTTGCCTTGCTGGGGAGATGGAGGTGACTGGGTGGCACTGATCTACCATGGGCATCAGGCTTGCTGGTGGTTGGCTTTGGGAGGAGATGGGGTTGAGGCCTAGTTTGTGCTAGACATGGGGTTCAAGCTGGTGATGGGTGTTGGGATGAGTGAGCAGGACAGCACCCACCTGCACCCATGGCCCTGAGGGGGTGACACTGCGCTGGGCTGCAAAGTGGGGTCCTGGGAGGGGGTCTCTTTGGGGCTGGAGGGCATCCTTCACCATCCGCTCACACGGGGCCTTGTCCCACTCCCTCAGGTGTCCTGGTCCTCACCTGGTTCATCAACAAGTTCCGAATTGTGAAGCTGACGCCGAAGGACCAGTTCATCATCGCCTACGGGGGCCTGCGGGGAGCCATCGCCTTCTCCCTCTGCTACCTCCTGGACTATAAGCATTTCGGCATGAGGGACATGTTCCTCACAGCCATCATCACAGTCATCTTCTTCACAGTCTTCGTGCAGGTTGGTGGCGCTCGGAGGGGGTCACAGTCCTATTTCAGAAGGCGCGTCGTGTGTTTGTGGAGCGTGACCACTCCCTCAGGTGTCCTGGTCCTCACCTGGTTCATCAACAAGTTCCGAATTGTGAAGCTGACGCCGAAGGACCAGTTCATCATCGCCTACGGGGGCCTGCGGGGAGCCATCGCCTTCTCCCTCTGCTACCTCCTGGACTATAAGCATTTCGGCATGAGGGACATGTTCCTCACAGCCATCATCACAGTCATCTTCTTCACAGTCTTCGTGCAGGTTGGTGGCGCAGGGAGGGGGTCACAGTCCTATTTCAGAAGGAGCGTCGTGTGTTTGTGAAGAGTGAGGAGCACCTCCCCAGCCTCCATCCCTGATCCTGCCACTGTCCTCCTTCTCCAAAACCTCTTGAGGCTACCGAGTGTCACCGGAGAGCTCTAACACCCCCCTTTCCCTGTTCCCTAGGGCATGACCATCCGGCCCTTGGTGGACCTGCTGGCCGTGAAGAAGAAGCAAGAGACAAAACGCTCCATCAACGAAGAGATCCACACGCAGGTAACCCCCTGCGCCCGGCCAGCCCTCCCCGCGCGCTTCTCTTCGCCGCCTTAGCCCTCTTCTCTCTCTGCTTCTGCCACCTCCACCGCTGTAACCAGGCGGGTTTACAGAGCGGGAGCTGCCCCTAAATCGGTGCCCAAGGTAAGGGGGGACGGAGCGAGGGCTCTCCCCCATCTGTGTCGTCCAGTGCCCGCTCCGACCCAGACCTTCCCCGTTGCCTGGTAGAGCAGCAGCCCGGTTGTCTAGGACCGTGCTGTCCTCCTGAGGCCCATCCTGGCCCCACAGCCCTGATTTTGCAACCCTTGAGTGCCCTCAACCCCCTGTGTCAGCCTGGGTGTCGGGGTGGGGAGAAGGGTGGGCAAGAGCCCTGCCAGCTGCCTACGCTTTGAACCTTCTCTTCCAGTTCTTGGATCACCTTCTGACAGGGATCGAGGATATCTGTGGTCACTACGGGCATCACCACTGGAAGGACAAGTGAGTGGGGAGGTTTGGGGACTGGAGGGACATGTGGGGGAGATGGAAAAGGCTTTGAATTGCCACCTGGCAGGTTTTCCAGCCCTGTGTTGGATTTTTACCCAGGCTGTAATATCCCCTTGATGAATTATGGCCATGGGTTGGGTGTGAGTGGGGCTGCAGGGCTGTGCCCCATCACCACACCATCCACCACAGTGTGGGAGCAGCCAGTGGCCGGTCCCTGAAGGAGCTCAGGACCATCCCTTGTGGTCCAGCAACTGCTGAGTGTTTCGGAGCCTGCCCAGCTCAGGAGGAAGTCAGGGAAGCCTGGTCTGACCTGTGCTGGTGGGAACTGCACCATCTTCTGCTGGCCTGGACCAGGGATGGGGAGCAGGGAGTGGGTGCCGGGGCAGGAGAGGGTCTGATGGATCACTGCTCCTCCTTTCCCAAAGGCTGAATCGTTTCAACAAGAAGTATGTGAAGAAGTGCCTGATTGCAGGGGAGCGCTCCAAGGAGCCCCAGCTCATCGCTTTCTATCACAAGATGGAGATGAAGCAGGCGATCGAGCTGGTGGAGAGCGGGGGCATCGGCAAGATCCCCTCTGCTGTCTCCACCGTCTCCATGCAGTGAGTTCCCTGGCCTTGGCCACCCTGCTGTAGGCTGAGCCCTCCTTGCTACTGGCCACAGGGCAAGCAGCCGTTCGGTCCCGCCTGAATCCTGTCTTCTGTCCATGCAGGAACATCAACCCCAAGACCATCCCTGTGGCTCGCATCCTTCCAGCCCTTTCCAAGGACAAGGAGGAGGAGATCCGGAAAATCCTTCGCAACAACCTGCAGAAAACCAGGCAGAGGGTAAGGTGTCCCCCCGGGCACTGTGTGTGTGCCCCTTTTGCTTCCCTGGGGTGGCCAGGACCACTGCCCACCAGAAGCTCTTGGGGCCAGATGCCCCCGGCATCCCTGCCCTCCTGCCCATCGTGTTCCTGGTCTGGCTCTTGCTCCCCAGGGACCTTTTCCCCCTGGGATGGTGCTGAGGGAGAAGCTGGCTCATGAGCCCAGCGTTTAAACCCTCACTGGGCTGAGATGGGTCCAGATGGGGCATCCCATGGTAGCACACAAGGGATGAACCACCAGCTGGCCCTGGACCTGCTCTGCTCACTGGTGGCTGTTTCAGCCATCTCCAGGGGAAACGGTGCTGTGACCTTCCTTTGCCTTTCCCCGGGGTGGTTTTTTAACCCTTCTCCTTCTCTTGGGGCCTTTTCCCAGTTGCGATCCTACAACCGGCACACGCTTGTGGCCGACCCCTACGAGGAAGCCTGGAACCAGATGCTCCTGCGGAGGCAGAAGGCCCGGCAGCTGGAACAGAAGGTGTCAAGGGGACGGTGGAGCAGGGATGCTGCCACGGACTGGGGAGGATGGGGGGCTGAGGGGGGTTTCCCAAACTGGGAAGGGCATCGGTGTCCCGCGTGGGGAGGGGGCTGAGGTTCAGATGACAGTGGAGGACACCACGTCTTGGGAGGGGTCTTCTCCAGGGTCCCAGCAAGTCCTTGCAGCACGGCTGGGAGGATGCACACATGTATCCTCTGCATCCCACCGCTGCTTCTCGCTCATCCCCGTGGCCTGGGGTCAATTCCCGGCCTCCCCTTCCCCATTTATCCTGGTCGTTGTGATGGAGACATGGTCCTTGTGCTCCGATTCCAGATGAACAACTACCTGACGGTGCCGGCTCACAAGCTGGATTCACCCACCATGTGTCGGGCTCGCATCGGCTCAGGTAGGTGGAACTCAGCTGCCAACACCTCGCTGGGCATCAGGTCCCTTTGCTGCTGAAACCCTCGGAGATTGCGTTGTCCTTCACCCCCTCAACTCCTCCACGGCTCTCCAGCCCCCATCATCCCTGTCCCGCTCCCCCCCTACGTGATGCACCCAAGCCCTGGGGGTTTGCTGCTCTTGAGCCCAAGCTCTGCCTGAGCAGAAGCACCCAGCTCACTTTTCCCAGCACAATTCCCAGCGGGATGTCAGCTTGGATGGTCAGGAGATCTCTCTGGAGCTCAGCTCCCTCCATCCACACACCCACATTTCTGGCCGTGCCTCTCCCTGCCCTCTGCGGGGGAGAGAACCAGGAGTGCTCAGCCCCAAGGCCTGTCCCTGGACTCCTGTCTTCTCCACCACGCGTTTGCTTTGCCATCTGTGGTTCCTCCCATCCTACGTGTCCTCTCCTGCCTTGGGGACAGCGTGAGGCCGGCGCTGGCGCTTGCGGAGCCGGCGGTTAATCGGCAGAGGGCAGCTTCCCCCTTGGAAACGGCTGGAAGCTGGGCTGGGCTGTCTGGAGCCGCTCCAGACGGGATGTGGAAAGCAGGAAGAAGAATTAAACAGCAGGCTTGGAAATCCCATAAGGCAGCCCAGGCATCCCGGCCCCAAACATCTGGGGTGAATTAGCAGGGGGTCCCTGAGACCCACCCCCCTTTTCCTTTCCTTTTCCCTTTCCTTCCCTTTCCTTTCCTTCCCTTCCCTTCCCTTCCCTTCCCTTCCCTTCCCTTCCCCAGGTTCTCCTGACTCAGTTTCTCCCCGATGCCATGACACAGACCCTACCTGACCCCTCTCTGCCTCCCCAGACCCCCTGGCCTACGAACCCAAGGCGGACTCGGAGAACCTGCCCATCATCACCATCGACCCGGCCTCCCCGCAGTCCCCGGAGTCCGTGGACCTGATGAACGAGGAGCCCAAGGGCTGCGGGGGCCTCCCGCCATCGCCCGAGGAGGACGAGGAGGGGCTGGTGATGAGGGCCAAGGAGCCTTCCTCCCCGGGTACCGACGACGTCTTCACCCCGGGGACCAGCGACAGCCCCAGCAACCAGCGGATGCTGCGATGCCTGAGCGACCCGGGGCCTCGGCCGGAGCCGGAGGAGGGGGAGCCCTTCATCCCCAAGGGGCAGTAGCACCCGGTGCCCGAAGCCTCACCCCACGTTTCCTACAGTTTCTCTCTCTCTCTTCGTCCGTTGTTCTTTTCTTTGCTCTCCTCTTTGGTTTCTTCTCTCACTACACACCGGGTTCAGGAAGGGGAGACCGTCCTGGATGGACTGGGATCGCCAGGACAGCTCTGCCCAGCCAAACCCTGGGCTGGTCCCGAGGTTGAGGGGGGTGGGGGAAGGAGCCCCCCCTGCCCTGGGATGCACCGAGCTCCTCGGCCACCGTGGCCTGGGGGTGACAGACGATTTATGGCCCAGGACTGGGATTTGCAGGTGCCTCACAGCCCCGACGGGGCTTTCCCAGAGGTTGCCCACCTGCTCAGGGCCTGCGAGTGGCTCCTCGGGGTGGCTGCGGCCTGTGCAGGGTGGGCTGTGGTTGGGGGGCTATAGTGGGGGTAAGGGGGGCACAGAGGCTGCCCCCCAGCACAGCTTTGCCTCTTTTCGGCTCACTCTGGAGCAGAGGGATGGGAAGATGGGAGCCAGACAATGCTGGGGTTGGTGGCACCCACCACCTCACCCCACACCTCGCCAGGGACCTCGGGCTCGTGCCACGGGCTCCCTGCCTTGGCCACTACCCACGTGGGGCTGGTGGCCACCCAGGAACCTCTCCCCCAGCCCTGCATTTCACGCCAGGTCTTGTTAAATAAATATCCTATAGCCATGCAAGGGGATGGGGAGCCGGGTCCCCCCTCTTCGCTTTGAGTGGCCCCGCAAGCCCGGGTCTCTCTGTCCCTCCTGGAACCTGCTACCTGTCACCCGTCCCCATGGGGACCCTCTGCCAGCCTCGGCCCCTCACCCCGTGCCTGCCCCATAACCAAAGACGGCGTCTGAGCTCCCTGGGCACGGGGATGGGGCACGCAGGGGGGGTGTTTGCTATGTGGGGGGCATTATTTTTCTCTCCCTGCCGCCAAGAGGAGCTGGGGAAGAGCTGGGGGACACCTCACCCAGCGTGGGGACGCGATGGGGCCGGGAGGTTGGCAGGAGGGGGATAGTCTCCCCCCTTGAAGGGGACATCTGGGGGTGTCCTGAGCTGGGAAGGACCCATCTTTCCCCAAGGCTTGGCTGGGGGGGGGTGGAAATGCTAGGTGTTTGGGTGATTTAAAGCCCTTCCCATGCTCCAGGTGTCACTTTGTCCCTCATGTGCCACCCAGCTCTCACCACGTGCCACCCTTGGCCATGGGGGCTGCCTCTCCCGTGCCAGGGGCTGCTTGTCACCCTCTCCCCCAGGAGGGTGGGTATGGTTGGAGGGGGGGGACCCGGGCTGCTTCCCCCTCCCCACGCCGTGCCTTGCCACGCGTCCCCTCTGCCCCCCCGCTGCCTTCGGTGGGCACCCGGTCCACGTGCCCACCCCCTCCACGTCCCACCCGGGACCCCCGGGGACCTGTGTCCGTGGGGTTTGGTCACACCGGGGCGAGAGCCCACGTCGCTGCCTGCGCCTGCCTGCCTGCCCTGCTCTGTCTCCAGGAGGAAAAAAAAAACCAACAAAACAACAAAAAAAAACAACAAAAAGAAAAAGCAATGAAAATTCTCTTGTATAAAAAGTTTAAAAAAAACAAAAAACAAAAACACATGTAAAGAGAATCTTGGTTTTTATCATTAATAATAAATTAATGTTAATTTTTAGTGGGTTTTTCCAGCTTCTACCTCTGCCACAGGGTCCGGGCTTTCCCAAGATGACCTTGTCCCTTGTGTCCAACCTCGGTGTGAGGGTTTCTTGGGAGGGGAAGGGCTGTTTTCCTCACTTTGGAGGGAGAAGAAGGGACGTGGATGGTCCCATCACAGCCCCGAGGTGCCAACTGGGCATCCTGGGGCAGCTCTGCCCTGGGAGGAAGGAGCCAGTGTCCCACTGCTGGCAGCACCTGCCTGTCCCGGGTCCCTGCCTCCCTTGCAGTGGGGTTTGGAAGGGGTTAATTGAATTTTGAAGAGTTAATTTCTCTCCCAGGGGAGGGAGCGTGGGGACATTTGAACCCTGGGACTTTTTTTTCCCTGCATTTCCCAGGAGGCAGGGCTGAAGCCAAGCTCTCCAAGAGGAGCCAGTTCCCACCAGCATCCCATGACCGGAGAGAGGAAAGAGGTTCAAGGTGGTGCCTGGTTGAGGGGCTGCATCCCCACCCAAAAATCCCCCAGGAAAGACCTTCCCAACCCCGTCAGCGCTGGCACCTTGTCGTGTCCCCCCCCTTGAGGAGTCCCCCCAGGGCCACGGGTGCCCCCGGGGTGGCCGGAGCTCCTTGCTTTTGGGCAATTGCAATGGGAGCGTGTATCATCGCTGCAAATTAAAGCTGTGATTCAAGGAGGCTGTGACTCACCCCCTCGCCATCCAGCAGGCGCATCGTCACCGGCGTTGCTCATGTGCTTAAAATACCTGAAGCCCAGGATCCCCCCCTCCATGGCCCTGGGCTGGCACTTGGCTTGGCTACCTCACCCCCAGGGTTCCCCCCATCCCCGAGGGGTCCCTGGGCAGGATGAGGTGTCTTGGGACGTGGGGCAGGTGAGGCCGTGGGGCCCGTGGCTGTGCTGGTTTGGGGGGTGCCAGCCTTGGAACCCGCTGTGGGGTTTGGGGTAGCGGTGCCAATGGGGGGGGACCCCAAAGCAGGAGGGTTTGGGGAAATCTGGAGGAGAGCAGGGGCTTTGCCATCCCATCCCAAAGGGTGGGAGCACCCAGAGGTGCTGGCCGCAGCCCAGAGGCCGGGTGATGGCCACCCATCCTGGGCACGGAGGGGAAAGCAGGAACGTGCCCGAGCATCTCACCCGCCCCACGTGCCAGAGGGCATCACGTGCAGCCGCCCTCCTCATCCCAGTCATACCTTCATAACGCCAGAACTCACCAAACCGAGGCATTTCCAGGATATTCTTGTTTCTGTCTTAAAGGGTGAGTAACTTTTTCTTAATGAGGAAGGACTAATGACCCCTCCAGGGATGGGCTGTCATTGCTGAGCAACTGCCAAAGCACACGCAACGCCGAGGTGCGTGTCCCCAACCCCCTGGTCCTGGTGGTGATGCCTTTTCCCCATCTGTGACCCCCCTGCTGTGCCCTGCACCCCCCCCCAGCTCCCCCCACTCCCTCCCAAAGCATGGCAAGGCCATGGCAGCGGTGCCAAGGACAGGGAGAACGGAGGGACCCTGAGAAGGACGACCTTGTCCCTGCACACGCGTGTGCCAACGCGTTTATGGTCCTTTCCACAACCTCCATCCGTGGGGATTAAAAAGCTGCTCCCTCTGCAGCTGCAGGGATCTGCCCCGGCCAGGATGGCTGGGCTCCCCCGTGCCTCAGTTTCCCTCTACGTGGTTTGGAGCTGCCACCACCCGCAGCTGTGCCTGGGCATCACCCAGGGCCCAAAAATCCAAAGCGAAGGGACCGGCTGGGATCTCTACCAGGATCCAATTAGTGTCATTAAGCCAGGCCGTCCCTTCCCGCTGCTTTAAAAGCCCAAGTCACGCCAAGCGAAACAGCACGTCATGGCACGAGGAAGCCACCAAGGCCAGGACACGCAAGTTGCTGTTCCTGCTGTGGGGGAACCCCAGGGTGAGGACCTTCCTGGCCAGTGACACCATGGGCAGCTTCAAGGGGCAGCCACAGTCCCTGCCCAGCTCTGGTGGCACGTCGGTGCCGTGTCCCCCTCCCCATGCCCTGGCGATGCCGTGTCCCCCCTGCGCTCCCCGGGCAGCATTTTCCAGCAGCCAGGGGAGGTGACGGGTGCCATTCCCCAACTCTGTGTCACCTGCTGTAATAACACCCTGCGCTGCCTTTCATCTCAGGGCCTTCAAGGTGGCCCTCTCCGGGCCTTCAAGGTGGCCCTCTCCAGGGCGAGGATGTCCCAGGGCCACCCCTTATCATTAATTCCAGGAGGCAGCTGGGGATGTGGTGGGGTCTGGGGGTCCTAGCCAGTGACATGGAGACCCCAGGATGAGAGCAGAGCTGTGACACCCCTTGTGCCAGGCAGAGAATGTGGGTGCTACAGCACCAAATCTGGCCTTGCCGTGGCCACTTGGGGCCACGGAGGCAGCCAGTGGCACAGCCCTGGGGCCACGGGTGTCCCAGCGGTGAGGATCTGGGGACAGCGAGCTGTGGTGGCACCTCTGGGATGGGCTGTGCAGGAGTGAGTGGGGCTGGACATGGATTTGAGCTGGGAGGTGTCTGGGAGTGGTGTTTGCCAAGGGAGGCTTCAGACATGGCATCGTAGAGAGGTTGGTGCTGGTCTCTTCTCCCAGGTAATTAGCGACAGAACAAGAGGGAATGGCTTCAAGCTGCAACAGGGTGGGTTTAGGCTGGACATCAGGAAAAAATTCTTCACAGAAAGAGTGGCCAGAGACTGGAAGAAGCTGCCCAGGGGTGGGGTTGAGTCACCATCCTTGGATGAGTTCAGGAGTTGTTTAGATGTGGTGTTGGGGAATATGGTGGAGGGGAGAACTTTGTAGAGTAGGGTCGATGTTTGGACTTGATGATCCTGAGGGTCTTTTCCCACCTAGATGGTTCTATGATGAGAAGGTCTCCACCTCCTGAGCCCCCAGCGGGACAGTGGCGGTTGTGCATGGGGACAGCAGGCAAAATGTATGGGGACAGCTCATGTCTGCACGGGGACAGCTGGTGGGTGTGCAGGGGACATCCCGGGCACGCACAGAGATGGCTGGTTCACTCACAGGACAGCGGGTGCGTGCACAGGGACAGCTGCCATGGGCACAGGGACAGCCAGTATGTGCACGGGGATGGTGTGGGACACGGCTGGTGTGTGCACGGGGACGGTGTGGGACACGGCTGGTGTGTGCACGGGGATGGTGCCGGGGGCAGGTGCCGTGGGAGCGGGGCAGGAGGAATGCCCCCACCCTGCCGACGAGCCTTGCTGCTCCCCCGGGGCCACGCTGGGTGACGTTGGTGGCTCCAGGAGAAGGGCTTGGTCCCTCTTGCTTGCTCAGGGAGTTGGCACACACCCTGCTTAATGTCGGGTGGGACGGAGCCAGCCCCACGCGGGTCAGGGAGTCCCCGGGACCTCTCTTCATCTCCAGTTTGGGCTTTCACTCCCTGCCCCACTCCCCCAGCCCATCCCAGCCCCACTCCCCTGCTCCTCCAGCCTTTTTTTCTCCCCCAAAATCCCCCACTGACCAGCCCGTGATGGGTGCTGAGGGCTGGACAAGATCCACAACACCCTAAGGGTCACCCCTTGGATGGGGAGGTCTCTGCCTCCAGCCCCACAGCCGCTCTCCTGGCACCCCCTGCCCCTCTCCACACCCCCTGGCATCGGGGTGCCCTATTCCTCCCCACGCACACGCTGGGACACGTCCTGGCTCCTCCCTGGGTGATTTCTTGACAGGGCAAAGCCCGTGTCCCCAAGCAGAAGCAGGACGCTGCCACCCCCAGATCCATGGGGCAAGTGGGGTCACGGCAAACCCAAGCCCCCATCTCCCTCAGGGGCCACCCTCACACCTTCAAAGGGGCTTTGCCACCCTCGTGCCATCAGCCGGGAGGCAGGATCCGCCCGTGTTTCACCCCAAGACGATGATTATTCCTTAATTGCCAACAAAACAAACAAATAAAGCCCGGGCTGGCCCTTGCTGAGCTGGAAGGAAACGGCCTCGGTGCCATTCCCGGTCCCGGGTTCGCTGCCGGCGGCTCTTTGGGATAATCGTTTGGTGATGGACGTTAACGAGCGGCTCATCCAGTCCGGCCAGAGCACGTCAGCTCTTTTTAATGAGCTGATGTTTTCTCCGGAGCAGCCATCAGCACGCCTGTCCCTCTCAGCCCAGGCAACGCCGACGTGTATCTCCCAGCCCATCACCGGGCCACCGGCTCATCCCCCAAGGATCTGCAGCACCTCCTTCATCCCACCAGCTCCACGGCCACATCCTGACCCACCACCCGGGGGTGTCACGGTTGGTGGGGTCTCCCAAATTGCCCATGGGGTGCTGAGCACCCACCAGCCCTTCCTCCCCCACCTCATTTCCCCCAGCCGGATCCCCAGGATGGGTGAGCAAGGCGGATCCTGATCCCTAAAGTCATTTGTCCCCTCTTGGCCTCTTGGGAAACTCTTCTTGATCTGGTTCTTTGGCTGACGGGATCAAAGGGGTTTTGCAATGGGAGGCAGCGACCTAATATTTTATCAGATTCCTTGGAAAATCGCTTTCCGGGAGGACTCCCCTCCTCCTTTGCCCCAATTCGGAGCCTCGTGAGGTGTAACCCGGGAGCATTTAATCCTGATGGAGATGCCTGATGGAGCCACACAATTACTCTGGAGAGCAAAACCCCACAAAACGAGGAGCATCCCCATGCGGGGACCCCAGTGGAGGGGACTCCAGCCCCTCATGGGACACGTCAGGCTGTCGGTGCATCGCAGGGTGGGGAGGATTTCAGAGGGGACCAGGGCTCAAGGCACCCCCTTGTCTCTTCTCCCCTCTAGCCCGACTGTGGATGCTCCTAAACACCCCATTTTCCCCCAAAGCCCTTCCTCCCCCACCTCATTTCCCCCAGCTGGATCCCTGGGATGGGTGAACAAGGCGGATCCTGATCCCTAAAGTCATTTGTCCCCTCTTGGCCTCTTGGGAAACTCTTCTTGATCTGGTTCTTTGGCTGACGGGATCAAAGGGGTTTTGCAATGGGAGGCAGCGACCTAATATTTTATCAGATTCCTTGG